TGAGGTGACACCTGCAACAGACTCGCCACAGCAGCATCCCAATCATCTGACAAAGACAGACACATATGGTAAAATATACAAGTCATGCCCATGAAGAGATAAGTGAATATGTGCTTCAAAAATACCTGCATGCAAACAGAATGATGTTAATAAAAAATCATAATAACTAGGTCATCTAGAGGTCAGTTTCTCAGAAACACTCTCTTCCCTCTCAAAGTTTCCTTACCTCTGCTCACATTAGCAAAGGGCCCTTCCACATCTATTAAACTGTGTGCAAACTCTGGTCCTCTGAATGTTTGTTGCAATTGCATCATGCTGCCCATAGAGGGCTCACTTCCCAGCACACCGCCAGTCCAGTACTCGCACTGTGTTCCTGCAGCTGAAGACATTTAATAAATCATTGTGGTGTTTTATCATCATATTTGCTGGACAGGAAAACTTATGCAGAACAGATTGATGGCTTAATAACAAAAAGTCCCCAATAGTGTGAATTTTTGTCTTACCAGTGACAGTGGTTTGGTTGTCATCTGAATCTGAGTCATTTGGGTCATAAACCTGGATGCCCTGAGCCTGTAACTGTTGAAGTTTGGCTTCCAAGTCCCTTTTAGCCCGCAGGAGATCCTGTATCTCCTTTTCTTTTGTCTCCCGGAAAATCTGGTGGTGATTTTGCCAAAAGGTTAAAGCTGCAAATGTGAATACTAGAAAGAATGCAATGCCACAATTGTTCTCAAACTGTGAGATCCGATACCAAATAAACACAGGGTCAGTATTTCTGATACTTTGGACCTATAAAGCCAGATTGTGTAGCGGAGAGCAATGTGTCAATAAATTTACAAATTCTATACAAACACATTTTAATGACCACTAAAATACTGAGACTAAGATGTTTACTTTAAGATATTTACTAAGATATTTACTTTTCTCACAGTGATTACTTAATCCTACAAAACATACCTTTCATCTTTTGTTTGGAGACCTGGAATCTAAATGTTCCTGTCTGTAAAGCAATCTGGCTCAGCTTTTGTTGTTTAAATGTGCTATGAGCTATAAATAAAATAAGACTTTCTTGTCAACACAAAAAGATTTAGACATTTTCCATAGTGGGCACTGTTTGAGGATGTCACTAGTATCAATCTGATAACAATACCAACTTTGGTCTATGATGTACCTTAAACTGACGTTTTACTTTGTCCCTGTCATGTTCAAATGTGGCAGCCCTCTCCATAGCTTGATATTTTGCCTCAAGAGCACTTTCTTTCTCTCTGAGGATCTTCTGGTAGGTCTTCTGCAGAGCCTGTAGTGACATTGAAAATAGCAGCATCCCACCATCACATTAAATCATCCAAAAGCCCACAACTTTTTCAGTGAGGTTAGAATAAGCCTTGTGCATTTTGTTCATTATCACCTGCAGCTCTGCTCTCAGCCTCTTGTTCTCCTCATCCAGCTTTGCTTCCTTCTTTTGCATGGATGAGATCTCGTTGTTCTTGCTGACACGGAAGATTTCGTACTCTTTACGGAGTCTTTCATACTCTGCAGCATACTCTAGATCCACAGATGCTGTGGATTTGAAACTGGCTCCGATCACACGAGGTCCTCGGCGGAAAGAGCTGCGCAGTAGTCGGGCTTTGGGCTTCACCTCGACGGGTATCTCACAGGCCTCCCCGCCTTCACCCCCATACCCGTCCTCGATAACCTCCCCTGGGCTAACCATAGAGGATGCGGTGCCCATGGTGGCCAAATAAGTTGGAGAAAAAGAACTGCTCAACTTTTTTCGATGCTCATAGCTGCTCCTGTGTAATAAAAGACGGAGCGGGGATGGAGTGTCAATTAAGGAAATCTTTTTTTGATGGGTTGTCACTGGCATTTCTGATCTTTAAGTTGTTTTTTTCCAGGCCGTCTCGTAAAACAACAACAAGCAAAAGGCTAAGCTCTTTCCACAAAAGCAACAGGTAGCATTAGAATTATTTGTATTTATTTATTCATGTATTTATTATTAATAACTGAAAAAGTGACAAAGCAACGCGTTTGCAGTTACTATCGAAATGGGTTTAAGCATACCCGACTAATAGCAACAAATCCAGATGAACTTAGTTAGCTTCGTTAACATTAAGTTTTGGAGCGGTTCAATACCCTAACGGCGTCATTTATTAATGTAAAAACTAAAGCAACGGCACAGTAAAGTGTTTTAGCTGAGAAGAAAACTGCCTACACGCCCAAGTTTGGCAAATGAAGGTTAAACAAATAGCTACACTCACGGTCCGCTCCCCTCACAGCTTCTTCCTGGCTGCCTTGGTAACAAGGAGAAAATACGGGTACCCGCACAAGTCAAAAACAACAGAAGTTTATTCCCCTCAAAAGTATGGGAATGACCCCATCTCTCGGTTATCAAAGAATTACGTTTCATGATGTAATAAATTCTGCCCCAACACGTAGTGCTTAAAACATTGTTATTTTTTATCATCATCGTCATCTTCGTCATCTTCTTTGAGCTGCTCCCTTTAGGAGTCGCCACAGTGGATCATCTGCCTCCAGCTCACCCTATAGTTTGCATCCTCCTCTGTCACACTAACCTTCTACAGGTCCTGCTTCTCCACGTCCACGAATCTTCTTTGTGGTCTTCCTCTTTTCCTCTTGCCTGGCACTCCCATATTCACCCCGTGCCCAGGAAATACATCCTCTATGCCTCCTCTGCGCATTTCACTTTGACTGACCAGGTCAAAGTAGGTCTCACTACCATCTTGTAAACCTTTCTGAAACAAATTACAACACTTTACTTCATGTAATAGGTTTATTTTATAGTCTACATCATCAGGTCTGCTCTTTTAAAAACTGTGTTAAAACTACTCTATCAGTTGGTTCAATGTTCTACTTGTGTCAAATATCAAATAAGGTATTTATATTGTTTATTTTACTATGACGTAATCTACAATCACAAAATCAACTGTTCTGTACAGAACAGTTGATTTTGTGATTGTGTTTGTCACCATCAAGTGGTCGATTTGATCTGCTGCAAACGTCTTCAATCTTAGACAAATACTCTGAAGAAAGTTACGAGCAAACTATTTAATATTCAGATGATTAATTTTATTTTCAAAATAAGCGATAATTAGGTGCTAAAGCTTCTAAATGAGGTACACTTTTTGTAAAGTGGACAAAAACCCCAACAGCACACAGAGAACCTTCAACTTCCCGACACAAAGAAACCAAAACTGTAAAATAGCTCCTCGACGTTTCACCTGGGAGGCCTGAGCAGTTGTGCTGCATATTTATATATACACTACTGAGGCCATTGTAAACACACCATTTAGATTTCTGAAAATGTGCACATTCTTCTTGTTGGGTTGATCCCAACAACATCACAAAAGCTAAAACAGTGGCATGCTTATCACGTTGTTGCATCATCTCTTTTTAGCAACATTTTGTAAGTGTTAAGGCACTGAAAGCACCACACTGTTTATATCCTTAACCCTCTGTCTCATTTTATAATGTACCACGTGGCTCCACTAGGTAACGCATTTAGACTACAGGAAGGAAACTTTAGCAGTCCACAGTTCTACTGCTGAATAATGCAGTTGCCTAATAACGCTTCTGCATCTGATGTGGATTTAACCTCTTGGCATTCTTACCAGACCCCCCCCCAACACACACACACACACACACACACACACACACACACACACACACTCTATTTCTTAACAATGAAATGTGATTATTAAAGTAGGTTTTTTTTGCCATGAAAACCAGGATTCTTTATTCAAACTTTGAACCCTGGAACCAAAATAGACTGCAAGAGGCAACAATTGATTTTACTTCCGCTGAAGTTTAGGGCTCTTATTCGGAAAATGAGGTCACAGACTTTCAGTTACCTTTTGTGTGACAAATAAAGTATCGTAAAGCAGAAGCTTAGATGTTTCACTCCTTTGGGGATAAGATTTCTGAGTAATTCAGAGAGTAAAAATTAAAAATAGAATAAAATAAAAACAGAATTTCAAAAAATGTAAATAAAATGTCTCAGTCTTCAGTGCCAGAAAGCTAACAGGTCCCAAACTGACAAATTATCTTTGACCTATTATAGTTCCCTAAACAAGTACTGGCTAATTCTGACAATTTCAAAGTCGATGCGTAATAATCAGGGGAAGTGCAGTTTATCTGATTTGCGGTTAGGTGCTATAGGAACCACGCTGATGTTTTTAACATGGTTACCATTACCTTCATTTTTCTTCCGTTTGCATTTTTTATATGACATCTTCCCTATTTTTACAGAACAGCTTAAGAAAGGTTTTCCTGTATAGACTGTTCAAAAAGAAATACATGACAGGATCCAGTATACCACTGATACAGGTGAGTGCAGATGTTATCTGATTGGCTTTTCTCAGCCCCTCAGTAATATTTCCAAGGCTCTGCTGTTGAATGTAGATTATCCTGCACACATGGTAGGGCACAAATGCAAACAGGAAGTTCATCACAATAAGTATAATCATTTTTATAGCTTTGTCTTTCACCGGTCGTTCTTCATTTTGCTGCACTGTTCTTAGTTTCAGCAGGATCAGTATGTATGAAACCACTATAGTGATGAGGGGAATTGCAAATGCCACAATAGTGGAAATTAAAGCTGTTGGATTTGTCTTTTCTAAGTACAGTTTGTTACAAATGCCAGATGAGTTGGTTTGTTTTCTTCCAGAAAAGAGTGTAGGAGTCATGCAAACAATAACCATCACCCACAGTATGCCAACCGCTACATTTGCATACAAAGGCTTCCTGAATGATTGTGACTTTAAAGGTATAACCACAGCCAGGAGCCTGTCCAGGCTGATGAAACTCATCAAGTAGAGGCTGCAGTACATGTTTAGATAGAACAAGAAGCCTAACAGCTGACAGATGATGTGTCCAAAGGGCCAGTGGTTATCAGATAGGTGGTAAATTATGCGCATGGGTAAGACGAGGACATAAGATATGTCGGCTACAGAGAGGTTTCTCAGGAAGACTCTTGATGGAGATGTGCTTTTCTGGTGAAAGAAGGCCCACAGAGCCAAGATGTTCCCAGGCACTGCGATGATGAAAATCAGGATGTAAAAAATGGAAAGAGAATAATTCCACAGAGCTCCAGAAGTGCCATAGAAGCTCTCTCCCTCCTCCCCGGAAACATTCATAGTTGTTGCGCAGAGGATCGGCCTGGTCCAGCACAAATTAGACACAAATAGCCTGTTATAACGATTGACAGCCACATGATAGCCTTCGTTCACTCACATGATGTTTTAGTGACTTTTTAAATTATCATAATGAAACTAAGAATGCAAAGAGAAAAATGTGACATAACGTTATGAAATCATATGCAGAATCATGTGTGTATTACACATTAGAAAGAGGAACTACTCTTGCGGAACGTCAGTGTAACAAGCAAGCAGGATTACATTTTCATTAACGTCAACAAAAGAATAATTACATTCAAAAGGTACTTTTTTTTGGTAGTATAGCATATAAAAATGCTATATAGTAGAACTAACATATCACTGTGTATGTGTATGTGTGTACATACGCAAAGGGTAAAATCAACCAGAACATCATCAACTTCAACCAATCATAAACTATAACAATCTAATTAAATGTATACTGATAATGATACTGCCTTTAAAACCCAGTTAGCAACTTTGTAACTTCATTTGCCAAAGACACTTTGCTCTGTTGCAGAAAAATTAATTTGCATGTTCACTTAAACAATAAAGTGTACCAAACATGGCTACATGACTAAGTACAAAATTATTAGAGCTTATATGTTATTACCTAATTACCTAAATGTTTGATAGTTTAATCCAAATGTAGGGTAACGCCAAACTGGCAATAATCATAAATCATCTCCTTACCTGTAACAGTAATGCAGAGGCGTGTTTTGCCACCAGTCAAAAAGCAATGATGTGTGCACAGGATACGGGCGAAGAAGAAGTGAGAAGTCATGTGTTTTGCATATCCACTTTTGTATTTACACACAAATATCATCTGTGAATCAGACCCACACAAGGAAATAGGAAACCACAAAGAACTTGAAAAAGCCACGGAAGCCTGATGCACTACAAGCATGCAAGTCTTTATTTTTTGCTACTCCAACACACTTTTGTCTTTATTACATAGTTTCTTTATAGCATGATTTAAAGCTTTACAAAAAAAATGAGAGAAAATCAAATATTTACAAAATCTATCTGTGCAAACGTCGTCTTTTACACCACTCTCCTAAAGTAATCGAAAGGCATGCATACAAATAAACTTTGGTATGTTAACAAAACTACTTTTTTTCTTAGTAGAAGCTTTTATGTACACGTGGTAGAACAGGTTTATCACTTTGACTTAAGTACATTTAAACAACAATACATGTTAACTTAACAAACCGAGACCAGCAGTGCAAACACTGAGGTCAACACTTCAGCCACCCACAAGATTGCATGTAAATTCCCCTAAAACATGACTGAGTTAGGCTTGAAGTGAGTCATTATACAACAACTTTGGCAAATAGGCACAATAAAATGAAAACTTTTATTATTTAGTATACCTGTTGTAAATCAGTAAAATAAACCGGCAGTTCAAATGGGTGGAAACATGAGAAAATACTCTTAAAAAACTAAAGTTACTAATGAGTTTAAAATGTCTGTATACATCGTGTATACATTCAGAAAAAGGCATTTACAAGGGCAGCGTCGAATGTCCGGCAACATAGGAAATATAGAAGATTAAATATACTACGGTTATTCAATCTCTTGTTTCAAAAAAATATAACACAATTTTTTTTACATGATATTTTGTGATTGTACATCAACTCTCTATTCCCTACTCATAGCTACAGCAAGAAAATACATTTTTGAACACCATGAAAGCCTTCCACTTCAGCTACAAAGTGGCAACACTAAATCGTTTATAGTTACATTACAAAATATTCTGTCGTCTGGAACGCCTTCAAGAGAGAATCGATATCCAAGTAAGCATGATCCAAAATGTGAAAATGAAGATAAAAGTAGCAGTGTGTGAATGCCAGTGTCAAAGGAAAAACATGATTTGAGTGCATCACTTAATACTTTTACAAAAAAAAACTTTAATAAAAAGAAAATGAACAACAATCCAAAACCAATATAAAATATGATCAGGTCTACCTGCTATGCTGTAAAAGCCAGAGGGGTGATAATGGGGCTAAGTAGTGTCCTTAGCTGCTGTGGCTGTTGGGATGGAGGATTTGCCGCTGCTGCCGTTGTGGGACCTGTAGCTGGTGAAGCTGGGGGTGTGTATGGTGCGGATGCTCTTTCCACCTGGGCCCAAAGGTGTGGGCGACAGAGGGGAGGGGGAAGAGGATGAGGAGGAGGAGGAGGAGAATGAAGAGGAGGAGGAGTGGACTCGACCATTCTGCGAGGAAAACGAGAGAGCTTTACCTGTGTGCTGTGAGGGTGTGGGAAGTTTGAGGGATCCGTTAGACAGGGAGGGGATATGGGTGGAAGGTAGGGAGCTGGAACGAGGTGGGTGAGAGGACAGAATGGAGGACTTTGTCACAAAGGAGGAAGAGGAAGAAGGGTTAATGGGGTTAGTAGCATCTGAATTCTGTGTGGACTGGGAGCTGCCTTTAGTAGAGCTAGGATAAAAAGCAGGGATTTTAGAGATGGGTATAGTAGGGGAAGTCGTTTTATGATCCCCTCCCACTCTTTTAGCACTTCCGTTAGCCTGTAAACAGAGATGCCAAAACAGATACTTGTTGTCAAAAAAAGAAAACTTGCAAAATAATACATTTAAAAAAGGCAAGACAATGTTAAACAAAACTACAAGTTATTTACATGGACAGACACTATGACTACACAAGCATTAATATAACTAAGACAGAACTAAAAGACACCAAAAAACAAAACAAAAAAAACAATAAAAATACCCAGATACAAAAGCTGTCTTTTTTTTTACTGGGTTGCACAAAAGGTGAGAAACTGAACTGACAGACATGTTACCAAGAAACAGAACCAGGCAAAGGTTAGACAGTGCAATGGCAGACAGGATGGGTCTCTCTACAGAGTGGCTGTTTGTTAGAGGGATTGTTAGGCCTTGGGAAGAGCTGTTGGAGACATTTCAGAGAATAGATACGCGTAAGAGGTCCGGAGAGAATTAGGTAATAGGGTTAGGTGTTTGAAGAGTGATAGCAGATAGGGGAAAATGTGGGCCAGTGTTCCAGTGAAAGTGACGATGCAAGGTGGGTGGGTTATGCCGAAGTCTTGACGGTAAGAGAATGTATCACCTTGGGGTTAAGTAAGCTGTGCAGTGATGTTGGGTTTGAGCAGAGGTGCATTGTGAGAAGGGAGGAGCATAGCCAAAAAATGTTTTTAAAAAATCAGGTAAGTTTGTATCAAACATAGCCATAAGCATCTTAGGGCTTGGCAACACTGTTTAGGAACTCAGCTGTGATGGGAATTGGAGATGTGATGACAACTCAGATGATGACAGGATAGGATTCCGTTTGTCTCCGCCTTTTTTCCTTCTTTTTTTTTTAGCCACCAACACAGTGAAAACCATGAGCAGTGTGGACATGCAGAAGCATACAGTACAGTGATGTTATGGGGATAACAGTCAAGAGTCAAACATGCCTTCGTGTCAGAGCAGACTCGAGAGAAACGTGAACAGATCCACAGTCGCCACTATCGTGACTTTATTTTTTTTCACAACACTTGAAACCTCACAGCTTTGGAAGTCTTCCCACCCCCACCCTCCCTCATATGCCACATGCTTTCGATTCCCTATATTTGTTCCCTGTAGTCTCTGTTAAGACCCTACAGTAAAACTACCTGTCGGAACTGCCTCTGAGCGTCCTGCAGTTTTTGCTGTTTTCCTGCTTTGTCAGTTGTACCCGGTGACTGCCTGGACTTCGCAGATAAAGGGACGGGCATCCGACTAGTAGGGGAAGCGACACTGGTATTCTGCAGGGGATCCAAATGAAAAACAAAACAGAAAATAAAAAAAAAGATAGAAAAAACACACCAAATAGGAAGTATGAAAAGTCGAGGCACTAACAGGTTTAAAAAACCCCAAAAAATCCCCGTTCATTCAATACGTCAACAATCAACGCCAGTGAAAGATCATGCACCCAGTGGGACCATTAAGCCATTATACACAAGGCATGCAGTCAAGAACAAGGATAATTAGAGCTTGATCATCATGACAGTGTCTCTGATGATGAGTGTGCCACTTGCTGAAAACCTCTTGAGTTTTAGCAATAAACTGAAGAAGAAAGATGGTAGCCAGGAACCAAACAAAATGCCACACCCAATCATGTCACCATGATTTTGTACTGAAGAGGGGAGTCATTTCCATTTCCAAGCACCTGTGGGGGGAGGGGATTAATGATTTTGTAATTTCAGTGGTTAAGGTGGGAGTGGAGGTAAGTTAGAAAACTGAAAGAGAAGAAACCCAAAGCCTCCGGGAACAACAAGAGCTAAAGAGAGACCTGTTGTACGGTGCTGGGGACACTGGGGACAGTGTTGGTGTTGGTGGTGGTAGAAGGGTTGATTACAGGGCGTGGAAGGAGCTGAGGTTTAGGCTTCTTCTGCAGTGAATTTTTGCTAGGTACCTTAGGGCCAGACCCTTTGGAGGTAGGCAGAGAGGACGCCCTCTTCAGCCCTACTCCGACTGAGATTTTTCCATTCCCTGTATTTGCTTCCTCAGTGTTAACCGACTCATCAGGGGAGCGTGGTCCCATCTCACTAATCGTGGTCTCTAGCTGCTTGATGGTCTGCTCCAGGCTGTCTAGCGTCTTGTAGGTGTTCTTCCGAATCTCATCCGTCCTGCCGAGAGCTTCGGAGTTCTGCTTTTTCAGCGGGGCAGTGTCTGTTCCCCTGGGAGTATCTGCAAAGGATTTTGAGCGCGTAATCTCATATCTCTTCGCTTCTTTGTGCTGCCTGATTGTACCATCGGATTCTTCTTCATCTTCATACACAACCACCTGTAGCGTCTTCTTGCCTGACTTGGTGCCTGTGCGAATGGCCTGAGTCAGTGCTGCCAGCTGTTTCTTAGGGAACTTGAACTTGAATTTCTTCTTCCCATCCTTGGAGTCTCCATTTGAATCTAAGTTTACCCCGTTGTCTGTTAGTTCAGATATCGAAGAAGAGGATGAAGATGATAGGCTGGCATGATCTGTAGCTCCCTGTGAGCTGCTGATTTTTTTGCCACCAACCATCTCAGCCCCTTCTGCGATGACCGGCAGCCCACTACTTCTCTCTGTGTCGGATTCCTCACTCTCCTCATCAATGCGCTCTTCTGCAAGCATCCTCTCCAGTTCCTCCTCGCATTCAAAGATGGTAGAAAGGCGCTTGTAAGCTGAACGGATATCCATCGGCTCATCAAAGATGATGATGACAGGCTTCTTGTTGAAGCCGTTATCCTGCGGCACTGAAGGATCAACTGTGGTGTTTCCTCGATTTGCTGCATTGCCTACAGTAACAGTCTGCACACTTCCTTTTTTGGCATTGACCAGTTCTTGGTACTCTCCACAAGACAGTGGCTGAACCTTGGTGTTGGTGATCATAAATGCAATGTTGTCTGGGGGTGGAGGTGCCTCTTCTCCAGGCAAGTCAGGACTGAGACTAGCACCCCCATCAAGATCATCAATAGTGTTTTTAGGATGACTGCTGTCCTCGTCAGAAGTCTTTTTGGATGAAGCACCATACCGTTTAGGTGCTGCTTTAACAGCACCTGTTTTTGTGGTCGCCACTGGGTCAGTTACTATATTCTTACTAGACGAAACAGGCTCCTGGACAATCTTACTTTTCTTTTCAGTATGAACTTTAAGGATCTTTCCCTTCTGCATTTCTGCACTGGTCTTCAAGGATTCAGAGCGTTTAACATGCTTCTTTGGCAGTTTAAACGCATTAAGTCCCACAGGTTTAGGTGATATAGGTGGGGGTGATTTGGGTGTTGGAGACAGTGGTGGCCGCTGCTGTTGTTGCTGCTGCTGGCTTGGAGAAATGTCATTAACATTGACATTTGACACCTGTGTTGGAGACTGTGGGGACTCTCTGTGATGGTCGTTGGTGTCTTCCAGTCGCGATGGGGGTGAATGATCTTTGGGAATCTGGCCCGTCACATAATATATGACCTGTGATTGTGAAATTTAAAAATGTGTCAATGTTTCATAGCTTTCTAACGCTAGAGTATAAGTTAAACATATGTGATTATAGTATATGTAGTTAAAATTCATACATACCCCTTGGCTCTGTCGAACAGTTGTATTCCCATTTTCATCTGTGTCTGGATCTTTATCCTCTCGACTGGGCTCTGAGCTCTGCTAGGACAGTGTGTGGGGGAATAATATTACAGTGTAACTGGCGTGCCAGGCTGTGCTGGATTAACTGTGAAATCACATTTGGTTGCAGAACGATCTGCGGCATCAAAACCACAAGATTGGTCAATTACCTTTAACAACTGCTTTTTTATACTGTTACAGTATTAAATCCTACATAAAAACGCACATGGTACAGAGTTTTTAAAAAAAGCCAAAATAGAATATAATTCATGTTGATGGATGTATAAATATATAAATCACATAATATAAATATAAAACCGAATTGAATATTTTTTCTTTTTTTTTTTATTTCACATATTGAGCTTTACATCATTATACTATATTTAAAAGCCAGCTGTAGACTCAGCATCTAAAAAGTGGAAAATGTGGAAGTGCCTTAAACCTGCATTCTTTCTAATGACCAACAGGGGGAGACTGCTAAATTGTGACTGTTCAATAAAAGTCTGTGACATATTTATCTTATTTTTTAGTTAATTTATGACCTCATTAAACACATTAATGATGAGCTTAGTCTCATTTGGAACTTTTGAGTCTTCTTTAATGATGCATGCAGCTTATTTTGTAAATTGTTATATGTTTTAGGGTATTGTTAACCTTTAACCAACTTATCAACCTTTAATTGATAAGTTGCTTTTTTTTTTGGGGGGGGGGGGGTTAAAAATCTATCAAGGATAATTAGAGCTTGATCATCATGACAGTGTCTCTGATGATGAGTGTGCCACTTGCTGAAAACCTCTTGAGTTTTAGCAATAAACTGAAGAAGAAAGATGGTAGCCAGGAACCAAACAAAATGCCACACCCAATCATGTCACCATGATTTTGTACTGAAGAGGGGAGTCATTTCCATTTCCAAGC